TGGGTTTTTTATTTTTTGTGCTATAAATGAAAAAAACGACAAAACATGAAAAAAACACATTTTTCTTTGTTTTTGTTGTAAAATTTTGCAAATAAGTAATTTTTCTTTATAAAATATGGCCAAAATTTATACTACTACATTTCTTTGGTAAAAATAACTTAAATCTATGTATATTATTTGGTCTTTGTGAAAGTTAGAGTCTACAAGCTATGGTACCAATCACTGAAAATTGATCACATGTGATGTATGTACCGATGTCCTCTCTCATTTCTTGAGACACTAACAAGCCAGGACAGTACAAATACCCCCCAAATGACCCCTTTTTGGAAAGTAGACATTCCAAGGTATTTAGTCAGAGACATATTGAATGTTTTGAAGTTGTAATTTTTTCCCACAATTCTATTGAATATGAAGATTTTTTTTTTTTTTTTTTTGTTCATCAAAATTGTTATATTAAAAGGTTATTTCTCCTACACGGCATATGCATACTTGCAAATACAACCCAAAAATTACACATTTAATTTCTTGACAACCTATCCTGTTTTTGAAGGCCTTGGAGCACCAGGGAAGTGGAAACACCCACAAAATGACCCCATTTTGGAAAGAAAACACTACAATGTATATTCTAAGAGGCATAATGAGTCTTTTGAACAGTTCATTTTTTTTCCACAGGTTTTCAGAAAATGTGGAAAGAAAATGAAAATGTATTTTTTTAACACAAAGTTGTCAATCTATAAGATATATTTTAAAAAAACAGCATGGACATACCAAGAATTACACCCCAAAATACATTCTACTACTTCTCCTGATTATGGGGATACCACATGTGCAAGATCTTTTCAATGTCTGTACAGATTATGTGCCCAGCATTGCAACAAGTGTAACACAAAAATCAACCAACACTGTATAGAAAACAATGTAAACAAAAGATTACCTGTGGTATGAGGAGAGCATTGGTCTAGGTCAGTACAGGCAGCAGGCTGACATCCAGGCAGCAGGCAGGAACAAGGTCCATAAAAAGTCCAGGGTCAGGACAGGCAGCAGGCAGATATATGGTCAGCAACCAAAGTATGGTTAAGGCAGCAGGCCAGAACATGGTCCATAAAATGTCCTGGGTCATTACAGGGAGCAGGCAGAGATATGGTCAGCACAGCCAAAGTATTTGTCCAAGCAGCAGGCAGGAACTTGGTCCATAAAATGTCCTGGGTCATTACAGGGAGCAGGCAGAGATATGGTCAGCACAGCCAAAGTATTTGTCCAAGCAGCAGGCAGGAACTTGGTCCATAAAATGTCCTGGGTCATTATAGGCAGCAGGCAGAGATGTATCTTAGTAACGTGTGAAAACGTTCGAAGCAGTCTCCAATGCACAGGCCTGGTTGGGAGGGACATCGGGGACAGTGAAAACTTGTCTTTTCTAACTCCTCTTCTGACACTTTTTTGGTGTCTTCGACCTGCTTCTGTACGTGGAATTCTCTTAGGGAAGTGGCGCTCATGAAGTCTGCTCACAGAATCGGAACGAATGCTTTCTGGGGGGATCCTTGCTGATAGATAAAGGACGTGACAACTTCTTCTATAAATATAAGGAGGGCAGTGGGTCTTTCTGTGGATTTGGTGTAGGTGACATACGCATTATATATAGCTAAACGTATAAAAAATAGATTGCAACTTTTTTATACCAGAAACAGGACCTTCTTGTTGCTAAATAGGGCTGCAACATTTGATCGTTGAAATCCCCCCCCCATGTAGAGATTATAATCTTGGATGGCCGCAGGTTTTTGAATGTGACTGTGTCTTCCAGTAATTTCGACCGAGGTGTCGTTGTGGATGGTGGGCAGGATGTAAATGTCTCTCTTATCCTTCTACTTCAAGGCCAGCACTTTGTCATTTCTTAGGCTTGCTGATTCCCCCTTTTGTAGCCTGGTATTCACAAAAAATTGTGGGAAGCCCTTTGTTTTTTTGGGAGGTACCGCAGGCCAGGGTTTTCTCACGGTACAGGTGTCGGAAAAGGGGCAGACTGGTGTAGAAATTATCCACATAAACGTGATAGCCTTTTTGGAAAAGTGGATAAGCCAGGTTCCAGACAATTTTCCCTCTTGTTCCAATGTAGGTTGGGCACTCAGGGGGCTGGAGCTGGGAATCTTTGCCTTCATATATGCGGAATGCATATAAATATCCTGTGGCTCTTTCACAAAGCTTGTAGAGCTTTACTTCATATCTTGCCCTCTTACTTGGAATATACTGCTTAATTCCAAGCCAGCCAGTGAAGTGGACAAGGGATTCGTCTACACATATATTTTTATTGGGGACAAGAAGTTCAGAAATTCTTTGGGAAAAAAAATTAAGAAGTGGTCGAATTTTGTATAATTTGTCATAATTTGGGTGATCTCTGGGAGGGCATTGGGTATTGTCACTGAAATGAAGGAAATGCATGATCATCTCTCATAGCGTGACCTGGGCATTATAGAAGAATAAAGTGGCATGTGGTGTATTGGGTGTGTGGACCAGTATGAATGTCCTTAATTTTTTTTTTTTTTTTTTGTAAATCCCCATGTTAAGGGTGAGGCCCAAAAATAACTTCAATTCCTCCAATGTAAGAGGTCTCCATTCAAACGGATGGGCAAAGGATGAACTGGGGTTGTTAGAAATGAATTTGGTGGCATAAAGGTTTGTCTGGTCCACAATAAACTGTAATAAAGTGTTGGGCAAAAATAAATTTAAAAAATCAATCACTGAAAAATTCTCTGTGTTGGCCTGCACACCTGGCTGTGCGGTGAAAGGGGGAATGCTTGCTAATCCGGAGTTGGAGGGCAGCCATAATGGGTTGGCAAGAGCATCTGGGAGGTATGTTTGGGCCCTACTTCTTGGGAGTTGATGGAATATTCCAGTGCTGGTACTGGGTCTTTCATCTATGGGTCTAGTGCCATTGGCATTTGTCACATGGAAAAACCCGCAGCCAACCGCTGCTTGCCAGGATTGATGATCTGTGTCCCAGGAACACAGTCCAACAGCGGTCGCCGCACGGAAGCTGGTAACAGTGAGTTACCGCTCTGTATTTACATTTGTGAAAGGCTGTGATTGATCACAGCCTGTCACATGGAAAAACCCACAGCCAACTGCTCCTTGCCACGATCGATGATGATCTGTGTCCCAGGAACACAGATCAACAGCGATTGGCGCGCTCCCCCGGCTGCGCATGCACGGTCAGAGTGGGACGACGTCATACGACCAGAGAACCACCTTGTGCCTGTCATTGTACTATATGACGGCCGGAAGGTGGTTAAAATCATGATTTAAATCACTAGTGAAAAGGCTCGATTTAAATCATAATTTTTAAAGAGCAACTATGATATCTGTCCTCAGCGGCTCCTCTGACCCGCTGTTGACTCACCGACAGTCACTTTCACATTAATGGGACTGATGGTGATGCGGCAGTGACACAACAAGGTGAGGGACGGACGGCAGTAGGTGAGTGGATGCCCACTAAAAGGCGTTGCCATGATGGATCTAAAATGACAGGTGCTCTTTAAATGTAAGGAATCCAACTCATTCTTCCTGATAGTTAGAGTCTTTTAATATTTGCAATCCAAATGAAGGTTTCCCTTTTAGAATAAGCTGTCAGGTTAGTAAAACAGCGATATCAGAACCGATTTTAGGTTAATACGTTAATCACACATAGTTGAAATACTCAAATTCTTTTATTTCATGTTTTTTTTTCCTGGTTACTGTGAAATTGTGTGAAAGCATCATGTTATCTCCGCTTGCAGAGTTTGGATTCATTGAATGAGTTTACAAAAATGTAAATATTGAAGAATATACAGCCTCCTGCTCTATAACTAAGCTCCATTTCAAGCTGAATAAACTAAATTATTAATGTATATTAAATAGAAAACTATCTTTAGATCGATATTTACTCCAAAAGCATTTTATTAAAATACATTTGATAAAAATAAAAAACAGATTTTTTTTTTTTCTTTTAATTAAAAAAAAAAAAAAAATCGATTTTTATCCACCCTGTATAATTTCTGTGGTGCCTGTATCCATGAGTTCTATGGATCAGGGTCCTTCTGTAATATAGAGATCCCAAATATATATTGAAATGCTTTAGGACTGGCATTAGTATATAACTTTTGTGTTCTATTATTTTTACACAATTATTTTAAAACATGATTGCTGAATGCATCTTAACATTTTACTGGAAAACATTAGTATTTGTTTCGTAGAAGGATTCCAAATGTGTGAATATGGTCAAATAGTTCATGCACGTGATAAGAAAATCGCACAAACATTTCTGTACGAGGAACAATTGGCCGATTATCTGAATGTTAGCATAGTGCTTTTGACAGCCAATTCCACCTTTTCAGATGACAAAAACTGAGGGTGCAAGCTAGAACATGTTTAGTGTATGTGAACACAACTTCCTATTTTCATTTAATGTGTACAGTAATGCTACAGAAATAACTGAGCAGAAAAAAAAACATACATGATCAGAAGCAAAGAATGACCCAACACTTCCTTTTCTACTACGCTAGTACTTAGCTACGTTTGCCTTTGTCAACCAAGAATTTTCTTACAAGTCCTTACCATTCCGACTACATCATGATCTGCACTTTTGTGGAAAATCGGACCTCCGGTTTTCTCATAGTGTGTACTAGGCCTAAGGCATGCAAACAGCATATTGGTTTTATAGATGCTTGGTTTGGATGTTCTATTCTTTCGTATAACATATAGGTAGTACTGGAGTGTAATTCTTTATATCTCTAGAAATGTATAATTAGAATCAGCAAAATGTTTAGTTCATGGGTTTTAGGAGATGTGCCCCAAAGTCTTTCTGATACTTAGTTTCCATAGCATCTATAGAGCAGCAGGTTAAATGATTTGGGCTTTAATGTCAGTGAATAATTTCTTTTTGAAGGCATGATTTGAATAATAAACATATTAGCAGAAGTTGTGACGTTTCTCATTAGCATCTCATTTTGAACAATAATACTTTTCCTTTTTTTTCTGAAGGTGTTTCAGCACAGTCCTTCCTTCAGACATTCACGCTAGCAAGCTCAGCATTCAATCTTCAAGTGGCCTCTCCTGGGGTTAGTGAACAGCTGTATGATATAACTGATATCTAAACATATCTTTTACAAGTGTCATTTCAGACAAGATTTAGAGTATTTTCTTTTTCGACCAAGCGTTATCCCAGTCTCTATAAAATGGTTTGTACATGCGAACAGCTACTTGATAGATTGTTGTTGGATTTTTTTTTTTTTTTTTGCTACAATATTGAGCTGTTTTTCTCATTCTTTGTATTTGCACATGGAAATTTTTCTGATTTGCCCATTAAAGTGACCTGTTTGTGTCCATATGTGTAGCCAGACAGACCTTTAATCTGAACTCCAAGAATGATACAAAGGGAGGGATTTACTAAAACTGGAGCTCCGAGAATCTGGTGCAGCTGTGCATGGTAACCAATCAGCTTCTAACTTCAGCTAGTTCAATTAAGCTTTGACAATAAAACCTGGAAGTTGATTGGTTTCTTTGCAGAGCTACACCAAATTTTGCACTCTCCAGTTTTAGTAAATCTACCCTTGCAGTGGGCCTTATTTTTCTCTCGGGCAGGCTCTCTCCATGCTGTGAAGCTGATCTCCACAGCCTCTTCTCCAAGGTGTGCCAGCTGGCTATTGCAGACTGATCACATGCAATACAGGACCTTCAGCCTTGCATTGTATGTGAGAATGGTGAGGGACTACCCACAACACAGAGGGGTTTATTTACTAAAGCTGGAGAGTCCAAAATCAGACTCCCTTCTGCATAGAAACCAATCGGCTTCTAACCTCAGCTTGTTCAATGAAGCTTTGGCAATGAAACCTGGAAGCTGATTGGTTTCTATGCAGAAGGGAGTCTGATTTTGGACTCTCCAGCTTTAGTAAATAAACCCCAGAGTGTCAGGGAGCAGAGATGAGTACCAAACCCTGCCAGTCTGAGGAATATTATAAGTACTATAAGAATTACAGCTTATTCATCTAACCCTAGACTTAATGAGCATTTAACCCTTATTTATGGTTCTAGTCACAGAATTGCTATATGTTTTCTAATTGCAGACACCAAAAGGTAAAAACATATGCAACACAATCTTTTATTTCCTCTTTAAAGACTTAGGCTGGCCATACATTATACAATTATCTGCAGATTTTCTGCCCAATTTCCTTTAGATTTACCTTCAACTATGTAGTGCAAGGGCCTGCCTAATTGGATACAACTGAAAGTGTTGTTTAGGTTTGTCCTCCTATTATATGGTTTTTGGTAAAATCTAAACCAAAAAATCTGCAGATAATTGTATAATGTATGGCCAGCCTAAGGGGTTGATTTACTAAAACTAGAGAGGGCAAAATCTGGTTCAGCTGTGCATGGTAGTCAATCAGCTTTTAACTTCAGCTTGTTCAATTAATCTTTGACAAAAAAAACTGGAAGCTGATTGGTTTCTGTGCAGAGCCGCTCCAGATTTTGCATTTTCCAGTTTTAGTAAATAAACCAGTATGTGTATGATTAGACATAAAATATGTTCACTCCTTGCCTTCTTCAATCATTGTAGAGTAAAAAAAATACTTGGTTCATTCTGATCAACCTGTAAGTTGGCAGCAGTGTCCATAATCAATTACAGCCCTTGGTGCCAAGATCTGTTTCTATGAAAACCCAATCACTGACTTACCAGACAGTGTATATCAGCTTCTTCACCAGAAAAAGGGTGGAAGCTTTTTTTTCTCTCCTCGCCTTTCAGGACAGCACCTACAGAGAGCGCAGCTCCACCCATAATCACAGGAAACACCGCAATTAAAAGTCAGCCTCTTCCAACATGCCTTCAGTTATGGTGTTTCCTCTGCCATGGTGAAAGTGCTGCAGAAACCTGGATTATGGGGGGGCAGGGGTTGTGCTCTCTCCAGTGAAGGGGGGTGGAAGTCCTTACCTTTCAAGAGATGTGTATGTGGACCAGCCCAGCTCCTTCCACCGGTGGTTGAGGGGGGGTTCTGGCACCTTCTGTCCCCTTCCGGCTCAGTGGAATGATGGTCAGCCAGGGAGTCCCTGCCGTGTCTATGGGCTTGGAAGGGAGCGGGTCTCCTGGGGTCCGGGACCATGGGAAGCCATCAGGTGGCTTCCTGCTGTATCTTGCAGGTCCGGCCGGCAGGGGACACTAAGCTGGTAGGCGGGACTTCTGCTGTGGCGGCATTGGTTCCGGCCACTGGAACGAAGGGGAAAAGGTAGGTAGGCGGGTGCTTCTGGGTCACCGGCATTCGGGAGACTGGCGGGAACATCAAAAGGACCACAGGTCTCAGCAAAGCTGTGCACTCTGCAGGATGGAGGAGGCAGTGGGTCCAGCAGCAGAAGCAGGCTCATCGTGCACGAGCCTAGTGGGGCACAGTGCCTTTATCCTTACGGTGCGTCCTCTCTCTCTCTCTCACACTCTCTCTCTCTCTCTCTCTCTCAGCAGTAGGGAAGGAGGGGAGGTCAGGGTCCGGTTGCATGAGAGCCTGATGTGTTTTTATTCTTTGTCCTGTTCCCTTCCTATATTTCAGGCCAAGGCCACTGTCAAGGTGAAGGGGGTCACGCTGATTAAAAGGAAGTGTCCATCTTGTAGGAATCCCCTGAGAGATTCGTGGCCAAAGCCACTATGTACAGCCTGCGTGGCAAGTTAAGTGAAAGAAGAATATTCGCAGCCATACAGGAACATGTTTGCTTCCGTCAAAAAGGAATTGTCAGAGATGCTGGGGTCAGTTCGATCTTTGTTAGATAAACTGTTGATGCTCCAGCTGGGCTTGCAAGAGAGCACCTTGTCCAGTCCTCTGCTGTCCACCTCAGTCCAGGTTGTAATCAGCAAATCAGAAGAAGAGAGATGGCGTCCTTCTATCCCTCAGAGATTTGAAAGAAGAGGAGGGTGAAGAGCAGGTTGCAAGTTCGTCCAAATATAAACTATCATTGGAGGAGGTGGACAACTTGCTGAAAGCAATATATACGACGCTGGAAATTAAGGTGGAGAAAGTCTAGCTGTCAGTACACAACAAAATGTACCAAGGCCTAGGACAAGCTAAACATAGTCTTCCCAGTCCATCGAGTATTGTCAGACTTGATAACGAAGGAATGGAAGGATCCGAAAAGGGGTCCTTTCTTTTCCAAATCCTTAAGAAGAGGGTTCCTCTTCGAGGAAGACGAGTCGTTTGTATGGAACAAAAAAACGAGGTTGGATGTTGCCTTTTCACAAGTTTCAAGGCTCACTGATTTGGCTTTTGAGGATATGGGCATCCTGAAGGAGGCAATGGATAAGAGGGTAGACTCTCTCCTTTAAAAAAAGTGTTTAGTTCTTCCCTGACCAACCTCAAGCCGGCAATGGCTTCCACTCTGGTGGCGAGAAATTTAGAATGCTGGTTAGATCAGCTGGGGGATCACGTTGAGGCAGAGACCTACTGGAGAGAGCTTTTGGAGTCATTCCCAGTCCTTCCAAAGGCCGTAAAATATATGGCTGACGCATCGGCGGAGTATATTAGAATCACGGCCAGGTCCTTGGCACAAGAAGAGCTATCTGGCTCAAGACCTGGTTGGGGGACTCAGCATCAAAAGTTTAGTTTTGTAGGATTCCCTTTTCGGGAGACCTGCTCTTTGGCCCAGATCTGAAAACCGTGCTGAATAGAACAGCAGATAAGAAGAAAGCTTTCCTGTCGAAAAATAAGAAACAGCTGGTCAGGAAGAATTTTCATCCTTTTTCGCAAACCCAGAGAAATAAGGAGCAGACCCAGAAAAGAAATTGGAGGTTTCAAAAGAATAGGGGTAAAGGGGGAGTGCTCTTCAGACCCTCAGAGTGACCGGCCAAGAGCCAATGACATTTCTCTTCCAGTGGGAGGGAGACTTCGAGTCTTCTTTTCACAATGGGAAGAAACAACATCAAATGTCTTTGTCAGAAACATAGTTGCCCAAGGATACGGCCTGGAGTTCTCCCGGGTCCCCCCCCCCCCCACTGACCAGATTTTGTGCAACCAGTCTCCCTAGGAGTCAGGAGATGGCCTCAGCAATGACGTCCCTTTTGAAGAAACCGATGCAGCAGAAAGGCATCATTCAGATGCAAAGGGAAAAAGAAGGTCAGAGGTTCTACTCGCACATCTTTTTAGTCCAAAAGCCCTCGGGGAGGTTCCGTGACCATCGATCTGCGGGATGCTTATCTGCATATTCCGATAGCGCAGTCTTCTCAGAAGTTCCTCCAACTGGTGGTCAATCTGGAAACGTCTATCTGGCACCTACAGTTCATGGCACCACCCTTTGGCCAGTCATCTTCTCCTAGGGTGTTCACAAAAGTCATGGCAGAAGCACTAGAGCCTCTGAGGTTTAGGGAGAATTTGGTGGTGCCATATTTGGATGACCTACTCCTGTTTGCGGAAACCAAGGCTTAGGTACTGTTAAATCTTCAGGCGACTCAGGCTCATCTGAGAAGCTTGGGAAGGCTGTTAAATCTGGAGAAGTCCAACTTGATCCCAGCCCAGAGGGTAAGGTTCTTGGGATCTACCATAGGTTCCGTACAACAGAGGATATTTCTTCCGGAGGAGAAAATAGAAAAGATTGTCAGCCCTGAGGGGGATTCAGTGCAACCTGTTGGTATCGGTCCGAGTGGCCGTGTCAGCTCTGGGACTGCTTACCACCTCAATCCCGGCGATTTAGTGGGAAAGGTTTCATTCCCGCCCTCTCCAGGGGAATATCCTGCGAAAGTGGACATACCAAGATCTGCTGGACATGCCTATGAAGATCGCTCCAAAGGTGAAGAGGGCTCTTTGGTGGTGGCGAGATCCAACCAACTTAGAGAGGAGTCTGCCATGGTCATTTTTGAAAGTTGAACAGCTAAAGACAGATGCAAGTGCATGGGGCTGGGGAGCCCACTTTGGAGACCGAAGGCACAGGGCTCATGGTCCAAAGCGGAGGGCCAGGAAGTGTTCAAACTGAAGAGAGTTGAAAGCTATCCAACTGGCTCTTTCCTTTCAGCAGTCAGCAAAGGAGCCTCACATTCAGGTCCTCTCAGACAATACAAATGCTGTGGCTTACATTTCAAAACTGGAAAACAAGGAGCAGGAGACTGCTGGAGTTGGCACTAGAGATCCTGTCTTGGGCAGAAAAGAATTTGGCCTCCCTCTCAGCCATTCACTTAAAGGGCTCGCAGAATCGGCTGGCAGATTTTTTAAGCAGAAGAAAGCAGCGTGGTTCTTGAGGAAGAACTCCTAAGGAGAAAGGAGTTATCAGATAAGCTTATTGCCACCTTTATCGCAAGCAGGAAAGAAGTCACTAGAGCTATATATCTGAAAGTATGGAAGAGGTATAACTCCTGGTGTTCAGAGAGAGGTTTCCAGGTGAACAGAGTCATGTCTGTGTTGGAATTTCTCCATGAAGGAATGGAGAAGAGGCTAGCAGCAAGTACCCTTAAATCTCAAGTAGCAGCTTTACCAGTACTCCTGGAGAGAAGGTTATCCCAGGAGGCACTAATTCTTTGATTTTTTTTTTTTTTAAAGCTTTGGTCAGGTCCAGGCCAGTTTCAGGTAATGTTTTTCCCAAATGGGATTCATCTCTAGTTTTACAGGGCCTCACAAAGAAACTGTTGAGCCCTAAAGAGGAAGCTTCAGTTCAAAATTTAATTCTAAAAACCATTTTCCTAATTGCCATTACGTCAGCTTGAAGGGTAAGTGAGATCCAGATTTCTATTTCTAAACCTTTTTTTAGTTATTTTTCCAGACCAATTGGTCCTTAGACCAGATCCCAGTTTTCTTCCAAAGATCTCCTCATTCTTTCATCGTATGCAGGAAATAGTATTACCTACTTTCTGTACAGCTCCAGCTAATCTGGGGGAAGAGATGTTTCACACACTGCACGTGAGAAGATGTCTTTTGAGATTTTTGGAGGTGTCGAAGGAATTTAGGAAGCCAAACTCCTTGTTCATACTCTTTATGGGTAATCGCAAAGGGGAAAGAGTCTCCAAGAGTACTCTAAGCAGATGGCTCAGGCAGGCCATCAAAGAAGCCTACCGGGCATTAGGAAAAGTCCCTCCGGAAGGGTTGTCGGTACACTCTGCAAGATTGGTGGTGGCCTCTTGGGCTGAAAGAGCTGGTGCATCTCCAGCTACGTGGTCCAGCTTTTCCACATTTATACGCCATTATAGAGTGGACTTGTTGGCTGTGGCGGACCAGTCTTTCGGAAGGAAAGTCCTGCGAGCGGTGGTCCCACCCTAGGTGTAAGTTACTCGGTTATCTTCTCCAGGTGCTGTCCTGAAAGGCGAGGAGAAAAAACCTTAGTTAGACTTACCAGTGATGGTATTTCTAGGAGCCTTTCAGGACAACAGCATGTAACCCCCCTCTTTATCTTTGTGACTTTTATATCTGTAATTCTGTGGTTGGCATGGTGTTTGTTTCTGTTTTCCAGCATGTCAGAGGTTACTCTGCTATAACTAAAGGCACGGTGGAAGAGGCGGACTTTTAATTGCAGTGTTTCCTGTGATTATGGGTGGAGCTGCGCCCTCTCCAGGTGCTGTCCTGAAAGGCTCCTAGAAATACTGTCACCAGCAAGTCTAAGTTTTTTTTTTTTTTTTTTTTTTTTTTTTTTTTGTTTTTTAATTCTTTATTTTCAGAAATGTACAATAAATATACAATAGCCACCACAGGATACAAGCTAGTTTATAAACCGTCATCCACAAGAGGTATTGGCCAACATAGAAGAAATTATAAACAGTACGAATATGATTCCCAACCTATGCAGTCAAGGGGAATGTAAGAGTAGACTCTTAAGAAGACTAAGCTAGTCTAAGAAATGTTACTGATGGGATCCAGAGTCATATGTTGTTATGGCGCTCATGAATGTCTGGGATTCGTAATAAACTTCTAAGGGAAAATAGTCTGCATCAGTGGTGCCCAAAAGAAATTCAAAAGAGCAAAGAGGAGAAAAGCGGAAGAGACATAAACTTAAAAGGGATGAGGGAGGCGGAAAAAGTAGTAAGAAGGGACAATAGGGAAGGGAGGCAGAGAGAGGAGTATAGGTGTGTGCGACCAATGGCACGACCAACTGAATCAGTTCAGATAAGTTGGGCAACTTACAGGGATGGTATTCAGCCGTGAGCCATTTGAAAAATGTTTTTATGCTTGATGTCCCATTATTGCCCCATAGTCTGGGGAACAGGTAACCTTGGTTCAGGAGAACCAAGCTGAGTAGAAGTCTTCCTCCTTCCCGTTTACTGATGCCATCAGACCCTCCATATGTTTAGTATCATTAATTTTAGAAAACCATAGGCTGATGAGGAGGGGGGCATCCTCTGCCTCCAGAATAGTGGAATTCATGCTTCTGCAGCATTCAACAGATGAATAATCATAGGACGCTTGTAACATTTCAACGACAGGAGTCAAGTGAAGTAAATATGCCACTGTGTTTTCAGGCATTTGAACATCCATCAATTTAAATATCCAGTATTTGATCTGTACCTAGAAAGCTTGGATCCCCTTACAGGAGCAGGTATTGTGTAGTAAGGATCCTTCTTCCTCCTTACAATGCCAGCAGAATGGAGAGCTTTGAGGAAATAATTTGTATAAGGCCTTGGGAACTCTATACCACTGCTAGAGTATCTTGTAGCCTGTCTCTTGTACAGCATAAGCAATAGAGGCCCTGTGGGTCATCTGAATAATTCACTCCCCTTTGTTGATCAGTGAATGTGGTATACAAGCCCTGCTCCCATCTTTCCAAGTATTTTGGAGCCAGGGTAGTGTTCAAGGTGAACAGTAGCTGGTAGGACACTGATACGCCATGTACAGTCAAATCCTCTGCTAGGCAAAATTTTTCAAACTCAGTTGGGGTTGGTAATGACACTGACCTCCCCCAAGTAGGAGTCAGGAAATGGTGAATTTGAATTTGCATGGCTTTCCAAAGAGGTAGTGGAGGGTCAAACATATTTTGTATGAGTAAACATGTAGATATGCTTTAAATTTCACACAAATATATATTGCCAGGTTTTGTCTGTTTTGACTGTCCTTATTCTTTGTGCACTTTTGTGTAACTACAGTGGGTTCAAATTTTGCTGGAATGTTGTACCTGGTATGAAGGCTCGGGGCAGGTCACGCAGCAAAAAGTGCTTTTATTACAGAACTGGGAGCGCTGTGCGTCTTTTTTTATTTATGTAGATTTTTTTTTTTTTTGGCTATAACGTTTGTTAATATAAAACTTCACTCTCTCAGTCAACAGTGACTATTTTTAATCCTTGTGCTACTAATTATGTCATACATCCCAGTAGTCTTCAGGTGGGGAGGGAGGGTTCTCAGCTCAGCCAGTGCCTGAGCTAATGGCAGATGGATTCCATGCTACACAAATCTGCCCTAACTCAAGATGGCCACTGCCAGAAATGCTAGGGGGTATCTTTCAAAATTTATTTCTCAGCAAAACAAAGCATGGAGACATGAATGGATGGGTGAGTTTGCTTTGAATATTACCAATGAATTAAATAGCATTTTTGGTTTGTGTTGGTCAGATGCAGTGCAGTTCCACTTTAAGGTACAACAAAAGAAATCCATAAGATACTTGGGTTTGTTCTTGTTAGCACTGATATTTTACCATAATGAAAACTTTTTCTAAAATGAGAATGCTATTACAATCATCCCTAATTGTTATTTTTCTTTACAGGGAAAGGCATTGGATTTTTTGGGAATCAGTGAATCGGACACAAGATGGTTCCAGGAATTTCAGTTGAAGCCGTATGCCAACCCAGCAAAACTGGAATCTATAGATGGTTAGAATTTTAATGTTCTGATATCGCTCTAAATAATGAATGTGAACAGGACAGTTTGTGAAAACTGAACCAAGTAAAAGTAGGACTTGGCAGTCTCCTCATTCTATTACATTGGAATCTACATTGAAATAAAAAAAAGAGAGAAGTTCCACTGTAAAGTTACCAACACTGTTTTTATAAGTCCCACAATCTTTTAGTAGGTGTTGTACAATCCATACCCTGCCAGTAACCTAGCAAAGGTAAAATGCTTATGCAATGAAAATGGCTCTCGGATGTAAGTAATCACTTGTAATTATTTTAAGAGCTTTGGCTTATAATGGATGAAAGCAAATGATCATATGAACTTGTCTAGTTTGGCCATTTTTTTTCTAATTTTTATATTGCACTGTTAATTTTTCATTGCCTTTAGCGGAGAACATAAAGTAACACCTGAATGTTGGTATGAAATATTGAAATGATCCACTAAAAATGTATTTGTTTGTTTGTGGCCAGCATTATACCCCAGTCACAAGCTTTCCTACTGTGTAAACTGTATAAATGTACTTTACCCACTCCGAGCATCTAATTTACCAGTCAGTAGTCTAAAAATAAGGAATGTTTCTGGTAAGGAATGACTTCTGATGCAGTTACCATAAGACTGCTAAAATGTCCTCTCTCAAACATACATGCATACATACACTATTTAAAGGGACTTTTGCCTACACACACTGGAGTACAGTTTGCCACATCCACACACCATTTGTAACGCGTGATACTTTGTAACTGAGCACACCTTGGCTCCTGCATTCGGCAGTTTACTTGGAGTGTACTAATAAACGTCCTCCTAGGACCGCTCATCATGGCATGTTAACAATCATACTACTTTCTGTCCTATGTGGGTGAAGCCTAATGCTCATCTTTGAAAAATAAAGCATTTTAAATTTAAATGTATTTTGTTACCTTATTAGGTTCTCGTTATCATGCACTTTTAATCCCACATTGTCCCGGGGCTATGACTGACTTGGCAAACAGTGGCTATCTGGCTAGAATTTTGCAGCACTTCAAAGCAGAGAAGAGTAAGTTGAGAGTGAAAGTAGAACATTGCATATTAAAATTGTTGATTATCCTATCTATCTATCTATCTATCTATCTATCTATCTATCTATCTTTTTGTACTGGCACACTGTTGAGAGGAAAGGGGGGTGGGGGGTGTTAGTACCTGGTTGTGCAGTAATTTGTGTGTAAAGCTGGTCGTACATGGATTGAAATGTTGCCGGTTCAGCATGGAGCAGCTGAATTTGGATCCAGTTATGGGCAGGGAGGTTGTACAGAAGTCAATCTACCGATCGACTTCTGTACAACTGCTCTGCCTGATTTTTCCGACTCAATCAGTGCCGATGTGTAAATCAATAAATATGCAGCGCTATAAGATGATAAAAATGAAGAAAAAACCATCCAATATCACAAATGGAATGCTAAAATAATAATAAAATGGTAAATGCATAAAAAGAGGCGCTAGGAGGCACCATAAATGACAATAGCGTGGTTAACGTCCAGGTATGACGATAAAGTGCTCAAAGTGATGTGATATATAAGTCCAAATAATATTAGCCTTAAGGTGAAGATCCGTGATTCCAGTGATAGTATATGGAAAATACTGAAAGGGTGAACCTCCTGCGCTAGAAAGGGGCCCTATCTCACAAGCCGCTGACACAAACCTCCTACCAAAATGAGTGAATAACAATAAATAATATAAAGTGCAGCGCTAAACCTCCAATCCCATATATAATAACGGACATATGAAAGTGCTAAAAATATGTGCAAATTATATAACTGTGCAATATACAATCCATAATAATCAATATATTATAAATATATAAATATATACTGAAAAAGTGTAAATAAATATTAAAGTGCAACACGTGTATCCCCTTCCGGGAATATTAAAGTGTTCTAAATGATAACAATAAATAATAAAATCACTGCAAATAATCAAATTGAATTCATATAAAACTAAGTGTCCAAACAAGTGAAACAACTCTCAATCTTCATGCATGTGATCCCAGGTGTCCACACTGTGTAAATCCAAACAGTGGCTACAGTGGCCCCTCACCTCCTTGCATAGACCCCACAGGGTCAGCTTGCCTTAAGAAAAAACACACCACTCTGATGAATTCACTCTGATGAAAATGAGGGTTCCTGAGGAAGTCACGTGTTTATCGTGACGCAACGCGTCGGTACGCGAGGAGGATTCTGGGAGCGCGGTGACGTCATTTCCGGCGTGGCGGCCATATTGTGAAACCCCTATATACAATACCCATGCAGGACATGCATAGCATGTTGTATAGAAGCCTGTAAACTGGAGAAATAAATGTGAGTGGGCATTTTTAATATTTATGGAGTATATAGAATAAAAAAGCAGTTTTACACTATGTGAGTTTCCATTTATATATATGAACCGAGGAGGAGGCTGCTGAGAGAATATATGAGTCTGGGAAGGATCCGGTGATTCATCAGAGTGGTGTGTGTTTTTTCTTAAGGCAAGCTGACCCTGTGGGGTCTATGCAAGGAGGTGAGGGGCCACTGTAGCCACTGTTTGGATTTACACAGTGTGGACACCTGGGATCACATGCATGAAGATTGAGAGTTGTTTTACTTGTTTGGACACTTAGTTTTATATGAATTCAATTTGATTATTTGCAGTGATTTTATTATTTATTGTTATCACTTAGAACACTTTAATATTCCCGAAAGGGAATACACGTGTTGCACTTTAAATATTTATTTACACTTTTTCAGTATATATTTATATATTTTTATAATATATTGATTATTATGGATTGTATATTGCACAGTTATATAATTTGCACATATTTTTAGCACTTTCATATGTCCGTTATATATGGGATTGGAGGTTTAGCGCTGCACTTTATATATTTTATTAGTATATGGAAAATATATTGCACTAACCCAAAAGCACAGAAACTTGCACATTTGAGTAATTCAGACCAACTCCTGGTCATCTGGATCTGGAAACCGGGACTCTGGGGGTCATCTGGCACACCTTAGCATAACAGGCAACACACCTTATACATCTCCAGGCGTAAATATATCCAGCAACAGGAATCACTCAAGTGGGTACCATTGGAATAACAATGATCCAGCTAGAACAATGATCCTCTCTACCTCACTCAAGAGCTGCTGAGGTTCTCCATGAGCCTGAGTGCTTGCTGATTAAGAAGGAAAGGAGTCCATTTCGTGTTGGAGAGCATATTGACCTTTGTTGTGGGGGCAATACAGAGAGCACATTCTTCCAAAAGGATTTTGGCTTCCTCGGGTATATCCCTTGGTATTCCAATGGTACCCACTTGAGTGATTCCTGTTGCTGGATATATTTAACCCTGAGCCTGGAGATGTATGAGGTGTGTTGCCTGTTATGCTGAGGTGTGCCAGATGACCCCCAGAGTCCCGGTTTCTAGCTCCAGATGACCCGGAGTTGGTCTGAATTACTCAAATGCGCAAGTTATTGCGCCTTATGGTTAGTGCAATATATTTTCCATATACTATCACTGGAATCACGGATCTTCACCTTAAGGCTAATATTATTTGGACTTCTATATCACATCACTTTGAGCACTTTATGCGTCATACCTGGACGTTAATCACGCTATTGTCATTTTTTGCGCCCCCTAGCGCTTCTTTTTATGCATTTACCATTTTATTATTTTAACACTTCATTTGTCATATTGGATGTTTTTTTTCCTCATTTTTATCATCTTATAGCGCTGCATATTTATTGATGTGAAGGATTTGAGGTTTACCTTTTATGCTGGCTGCTTGAACTTTACCTTGCGCTCGTTTGCTTGCTGTTTTTGAATTTGAGTGCCGATGTGTGTAGCTGGCATTGCTGATCAGTGTATGCTAATGTCTTCCTGCTGTCAGAATGCAGTGACACAGCAGGGAGGATTTGCCCATCCATATTGAATGTGTGGATGTGAGAATCGAGTCAGGTTTTTTGCGCAACCTACTGATTGAAAAAAAAAAAAAAACTGTATCATCTATGGGCTGCTTTCGGAAAAAGAAAGGATTCTGATTGAAAATCATGTCTTTCATCAATAGCAATAGGATAGAACAGATCTTTCTGGATTCGTATTTATAGATGCAACAGTATTGACTAATTTTCCTTCCTGGCCCAAGCAGTGCTCAGTGCAGCTACCTGTATGGTAAGGCAAACATTACCTAACCTCTGGAAGAAAGGAAACTGTAATTTTATTTATTTTAAAAGATTTGCCACATTTTGGAAATCATTCCCATGCTTAAACTTTCTTGTTACATAATTTTAAAACTTTTTTTAAAGTGTTTCACAGGAATGCACTTACTTTTGCTTTTCTATGATCCAGAAGGTTTCCTGCTCTCAGCTGATGTGGTAGAGCTGCTCCAGGCTCTGGAAGGATTATTATTATTATTATACATTATTTATAAAGCACCAATAGTTCGCTCAGCGCTGTACATTACAAAGGGGGACAGAACATGTGACAGAACAATACCAACACAATGCAAAACATGAGGGGATTGAGGGCCCTGCTCTTTCAAGCTTACAATCTAGGAGGGAGGGGATGGTGGCACAGGAGGAGATAGCTGTGGGGGATGGAGTGGTGGGAAGAGTGGAGGAGGTTGGTCAAGTTAGCAAGGGGTGGGGTAGGCTTCCCTGAAGAGATGGGTTTTCAGGGTGCGCCTAAAGGAGAGGAGAGTGGGTGATAATCTGATGGGTTGGGGCAGGGAGTTCCAGAGAGGATGGGTGACACCCTGGAGAAGTCCTGGAGGCGGGCATGGGAGGAGGAGACAAGGGAACTAGAGAGAAGGAGGTCTTGTGAGGAGCGGAGTGTGCGTGCTGCGCGGTACTTTGATATTAGGTCAGTGATGTAGTTCGGGGCAGTATGGTGGACGGCTTTGTACGTCAGTGTTAGGATTTTGAATTTGATCCGTTGCACAATCGGAAGCCAGTGGAGGGATTGGCAGAGGGGGGTGGCGGAAACGGAGCGGTTGGAAAGGTGAATGAGTCTGGCAGCCGTATTCAGGATCGACTGAAGCGGGGATAGCCAGTGAGGAGGGAGTTGCAGTAGTCGAGTCGTGATATGATGAGGGAGTGGATGAGCTGTTTAGTGGTTTCTGGGGTTAGGAATGTGCGGATTTTGGCGATGTTGCGGAGGTGGAGTCTGCACGAGTTTGTTAAAGATTGGACTTGGGGCTGGAAGGATAGGTTGGAGTCCAGAATGACACCAAGTACTCTGGCCTGCATGGCGGGTTTCATATTGGCGTTGTTGGATGTGATGGAGAAGTCAATGGGGGGTGGGGTCCGGGCTGGGGGGGAAGACAAGAAACTCGGTTTTGGAGAGGTTCAGTTTAAGGAAGTGGAGCGACATCCAATCTGATATGTCGCTCAGTAGGTGTGTGATTCGGGCAGAGACCGAGGGGGTGAGGTGTGGGGGGTTGAGAGATAGATTTGTGTGTCGTCGGCATAGAGGTGGTAGTTGAAGCCGTGAGAGTGTATGAGTTGGCCAAGGGAGGAGGTGTAGATGGAGAAGAGAAGGGGCCCAAGGACAGAGCCTTGAGGGACCCCAACAGAGAGGTGGAGTGAGGGGGAGGTGGTAGCATTATAGGTAACGCTGAAGGAGCGTTGTGACAGGTAGGATGAGAGCCAGGAGAGAGCAGAATCTCTGAGGCTGAGGGAGTGTAGTTTTTTTTGAGGAGGAGGGGGTGGTCGACTGTGTCGAAGGCCGCAGAGAGGTCAAGGAGTAGGAGCACTGAATAGTGGCCATTAGCTTTGGCGGTTAGAAGGTCGTTGGTGAGTTTGAATAAGGCGGTTTCGGTGGAGTGTAGGGGACGGAAGCCAGACTGTAGGGGATCGAGGAGGTGGTTGTCGTTGAGGTGAGAGCATAGGCGGGTGTAGACGAGGCGCTCGAGGAGTTTAGATGTAAATGGGAGCAGGGAGATGGGTCTGAGGTTGTTCGGGTCATTGGGGTCCAGGGAGGGCTTTTTAAGTATGGGGGTGATGTGTGCATGTTTCAGAGGGGAG